GGACCCTAACAGGTGCTAACACTCTGGGTCAGGCTGGACCTGGGAACAACCACAATTAAGAGGAGATTCACTATTTGCCTATAGCTGGGACCCTAACAGGTGCTAACACTCTGGGTCAGGCTGGACCTGGGAACAACCACAATTAAGAGGAGGTTCACTATTTGCCTATAGCTGGGACCCTAACAGGTGCTACTACTCTGGGTCAGGCTGGACCTGGGAACAACCACAATTAAGAGGAGGTTCACTATTTGCCTATAGCTGGGACCCTAACAGGTGCTAACACTCTGGGTCAGGCTGGACCTGGGAACAACCGCAATTAAGAGGAGGTTCACTATTTGCCTATAGCTGGGACCCTAACAGGTGCTACTACTCTGGGTTAGGCTGGACCTGGGAACAACCACAATTAAGAGGAGGTTCACTATTTGCCTATAGCTGGGACCCTAACAGGTGCTAACACTCTGGGTCAGGCTGGACCTGGGAACAACCACAATTAAGAGGAGGTTCACTATTTGCCTATAGCTGGGACCCTAACAGGTGCTAACACTCTGGGTCAGGCTGGACATGGGAACAACCACAATTAAGAGGAGGTTCACTATTTGCCTATAGCTGGGACCGTAACAGGGAGGCTGGACCTGGGAACAACCACAGGTTCACTATTTGCCTAGCTGGGACCCTAACAGGTGCTACTACTCTGGGTCAGGCTGGACCTGGGAACAACCACAATTAAGAGGAGGTTCACTATTTGCCTATAGCTGGGACCCTAACAGGTGCTAACACTCTGGGTCAGGCTGGACCTGGGAACAACCACAATTAAGAGGAGGTTCACTATTTGCCTATAGCTGGGACCCTAACAGGTGCTACTACTCTGGGTCAGGCTGGACCTGGGAACAACCACAATTAAGAGGAGGTTCACTATTTGCCTATAGCTGGGACCCTAACAGGTGCTACTACTCTGGGTCAGGCTGGACCTGGGAACAACCACAATTAAGAGGAGGTTCACTATTTGCCTATAGCTGGGACCCTAACAGGTGCTACTACTCTGTGTCAGGCTGGACCTGGGAACAACCACAATTAAGAGGAGGTTCACTATTTGCCTATAGCTGGGACCCTAACAGGTGCTACTACTCTGGGTTAGGCTGGACCTGGGAACAATCACAATTAAGAGGAGGTTCACTATTTGCCTATAGCTGGGACCCTAACAGGTGCTACTAATCTGGGTCAGGCTGGACCTGGGAACAACCACAATTAAGAGGAGGTTCACTATTTGCCTTTAGCTGGGACCCTAACAGGTGCTACTACTCTGGGTCAGGCTGGACCTGGGAACAACCACAATTAAGAGGAGGTTCACTATTTGCCTATAGCTGGGACCCTAACAGGTGCTACTACTCTGGGTCAGGCTGGACCTGGGAACAACCACAATTAAGAGGAGGTTCACTATTTGCCTTTAGCTGGGACCCTAACAGGTGCTACTACTCTGGGTCAGGCTGGACCTGGGAACAACCACAATTAAGAGGAGGTTCACTATTTGCCTATAGCTGGGACCCTAACAGGTGCTAACACTCTGGGTCAGGCTGGACCTGGGAACAACCACAATTAAGAGGAGGTTCACTATTTGCCTATAGCTGGGACCCTAACAGGTGCTGGGACAGGTGACCTGGGAACAACAATTAAGAGGAGGTTCACTATTTGCCTATAGCTGGGACCCTAACAGTTGCTACTACCTGGGTTAGGCTGGACCTGGGAACAACCACAATTAAGAGGAGGTTCACTATTTGCCTATAGCTGGGACCCTAACAGGTGCTACTACTCTGGGTCAGGCTGGACCTGGGAACCTGGGAAACCACAATTAAGAGGAGGTTCACTATTTGCCTATAGCTGGGACCCTAACAGGTGCTAACACTCTGGGTCAGGCTGGACCTGGGAACAACCACAATTAAGAGGAGGTTCACTATTTGCCTATAGCTGGGACCCTAACAGGTGCTACTACTCTGGGTCAGGCTGGACCTGGGAACAACCACAATTAAGAGGAGGTTCACTATTTGCCTATAGCTGGGACCCTAACAGGTGCTACCACTCTGGGTCAGGCTGGACCTGGGAACAACCACAATTAAAGAGGAGGTTCACTATTTGCCTATAGCTGGGACCCTAACAGGTGCTAACACTCTGGGTTAGGCTGGACCTGGGAACAACCACAATTAAGAGGAGGTTCACTATTTGCCTATAGCTGGGACCCTAACAGGTGCTAACACTCTGGGTCAGGCTGGACCTGGGAACAACCACAATTAAGAGGAGGTTCACTATTTGCCTATAGCTGGGACCCTAACAGGTGCTAACACTCTGGGTCAGGCTGGACCTGGGAACAACCACAATTAAGAGGAGGTTCACTATTTGCCTATAGCTGGGACCCTAACGTGAGGTGTTCACTATTTGCCTATAGCTGGGACCCTAACAGTTGCTACTACTCTGGGTTAGGCTGGACCTGGGAACAACCACAATTAAGAGGAGGTTCACTATTTGCCTATAGCTGGGACCCTAACAGGTGCTACTACTCTGGGTCAGGCTGGACCTGGGAACAACCACAATTAAGAGGAGGTTCACTATTTGCCTATAGCTGGGACCCTAACAGGTGCTAACACTCTGGGTCAGGCTGGACCTGGGAACAACCACAATTAAGAGGAGGTTCACTATTTGCCTATAGCTGGGACCCTAACAGGTGCTACTACTCTGGGTCAGGCTGGACCTGGGAACAACCACAATTAAGAGGAGGTTCACTATTTGCCTATAACTGGGACCCTAACAGGTGCTACCACTCTGGGTCAGGCTGGACCTGGGAACAACCACAATTAAGAGGAGGTTCACTATTTGCCTATAGCTGGGACCCTAACAGGTGCTAACACTCTGGGTCAGGCTGGACCTGGGAACAACCACAATTAAGAGGAGGTTCACTATTTGCCTATAGCTGGGACCCTAACAGGTGCTAACACTCTGGGTCAGGCTGGACCTGGGAACAACCACAATTAAGAGGAGGTTCACTATTTGCCTATAGCTGGGACCCTAACAGGTGCTACTACTCTGGGTCAGGCTGGACCTGGGAACAACCACAATTAAGAGGAGGTTCACTATTTGCCTACAGCTGGGACCCTAACAGGTGCTACTACTCTGGGTCAGGCTGGACCTGGGAACAACCACAATTAAGAGGAGGTTCACTATTTGCCTATAGCTGGGACCCTAACAGGTGCTAACACTCTGGGTCAGGCTGGACCTGGGAACAACCACAATTAAGAGGAGGTTCACTATTTGCCTATAGCTGGGACCCTAACGGTGCTAACACTCTGGGTCAGGCTGGACCTGGGAACAACCACAATTAAGAGGAGGTTCACTATTTGCCTGTAGCTGGGACCCTAACAGGTGCTAACACTCTGGGTCAGGCTGGACCTGGGAACAACCACAATTAAGAGGAGGTTCACTATTTGCCTATAGCTGGGACCCTAACAGGTGCTACTACTCTGGGTCAGGCTGGACCTGGGAACAACCACAATTAAGAGGAGGTTCACTATTTGCCTATAGCTGGGACCCTAACAGATGCTAACACTCTGGGTCAGGCTGGACCTGGGAACAACCACAATTAAGAGGAGGTTCACTATTTGCCTATAACTGGGACCCTAACAGGTGCTACCACTCTGGGTCAGGCTGGACCTGGGAACAACCACAATTAAGAGGAGGTTCACTATTTGCCTATAGCTGGGACCCTAACAGGTGCTACCAATCTGGGTCAGGCTGGACCTGGGAACAACCACAATTAAGAGGTTGTTCCATGCTCCTCCAAATTTCCAATCTCCTGAGGTCTTAGTAGTAGAGTAGTTTATCATCATACACAGAACTAAATATATGTTAAGATAAAGAACAAATAGGAAGCATTTATCAATCTAATATGTTCGACTTTTATTAAAGCTTCATCAGAGAGTGAGATATGAAGAAAAAGAAGAAAGAAATTCTAGTGTTTTTTCTTTTGTGTTGTTTGTTTTTCATTGGTCAATCATGTATCCTGTGTATTCAACTTTTTTAAATCAATGCTAGTATAATTTGCGACATTCCGAACTCAAGGAGGGATGATGTGTCCATCTGAAGTTTCAAGAAATGACACATCATCTCTCCTTGAAAAAGCTACAAATTATACTAACGTTGGTTTAAAAGAGTTGAATGCATGTGATACAATGTGAACGTTCTAAGGGACAATGGAAACCAAAAGTTCACTTGTACTCTAAGTACAAGTCACTTTTTCTAAGAAAGAAACAGTTAAAACTTCTAGGACATGCTAATGAGGAAAGACAGCTTGGTGAATTTGACACTCACAAGATATACGGAAGGGAGTGTGTAGCCTACTTAATGAGCATGTGTAAATAGATTGCAGAACAGTGCAGAACAGTGAGTGAGAAGGACAGTAAAGAATTAAACATTTCTTAGAGATGCAGAGGACAGGAAGTTATAGAGGACAACGATCACCAATGGCTTAAAGTTACATGACACATAAAAGAAGAAGATTATTATACTCATCTTAGTTCCTATTTTCACTACATTTCTGCTATTGTACACTCTAGCCTTATTCAGATTACTAAGTATGATTGACAACTGAAGAAGACTGGAGGTAGAAGTTGAAACATCATGAGCATTACAAGACAAGCATACTGGTTTGAATAATAAAGAGTCTAAAAGTTGTATATGTCTAATTTGCAGAAAGAAGCCATATTTCTCTTTCTCTTTTTCTTTTTCTCTCTCTCTCACACACACACACACACACACACACTCCTCCCTCTCTCTTTTTCTTTCCATGTTCTTTTTCTTCTCTCTTTCTTTCACATATAGACATACATGGTCCCTCTCTAAATAAATTTCAAATATTTTTCTCTCTCTCTCTCTCTTTTTCTCCCTATTCTGTTACTCACAGACATTAACCATGTCTCCCTCTTCTCTTCTCTCACTCCTTTTTTTACCCATATCATATGCACACCCACTTGTATACACACACTCACTTCTTTCTCTCCCTCTTTATTCCCTCCTGTTTCTCTCTCTCTCTCTCTATCTATCTCTCTCTCTATCTCTCTCTCTCTCTCTCTCTCTACTTTCTTTTCCTCCTTTCTTTATTACTCTCTCTCTCCCAGACATACTCACATGGTTCCTTTCTAATAAATTTTCAGATATCTTTCTCTCTTTTTAATTCAATTCCTCAAACACTGGCACTCTTTTTTCATCTCCCCACTATCTCTCTTTTGCCTCTCTCTCTCTCTCTCTCTCTCTCTCTCTCACACACACACACACACACATACATACACACTTTTGCTTTCTAATAAATTTACAGATATTTTTCTCACTTTTGCCATCTGCTTCCCCCTGCACTCTCTCTTCTCTCTCTCCTGTCTTTCTCTCTCTCTCTCCTTTACCTCACACGTGCTCTTTCTCTCTCTATTTTCCTTTCTCTTTATCCTGTATCTTTTTATCTCTTCCTCTCTCTCTCTCTTTTCTTATCACACATACATATATACATGGACTCTTTGAAATAAATTTTCAGTATTTTTCTTTCTTTCTCTTCCTGTTTCTCACACAAACATTTTCTCTCCCCTCTTTCAATACTGCATCTCTCCAACACACATACATGCACATTGTCTCACTCTGATAAATTATAAGATATTTTTCTCCCTTTCTCTCTCTCTGTTTCTTCCACACTCTCTTGGAGCTCTTTATCTCTCTCTCTCTCTCTCTCTCTCTCTCTCTCTCTCTCTCTCTTTCTCTCTTTTTCGTACACATGCACACAGTTCCTCTCATAAATTTTCAGATATTTTTCTCTCTTTCTATTTCAGTTCCTCTCACACACACACACTTTCTCTCTCCTTCTCTTTAACCTCTCACTTTATCCTCTCTCTCTCTCTCTCTCTCTCTTTCTTCTCTATTTCTCATTCTCTATCAAGCCTATACACACATGGTATCTCTTCTAATAAATTACCAAATATTTTTCTCACTTTCTCTCTCCGTGTATTCACACACACCCTCCTCTCTCTTTATTCTTTCTTTCTTTTCTTCTAGTTCTCTATCTCTCACTCTCTCACATATGCACACAGTTCCTCTCAGAAATTTTCAGATCTTTTTTTTCTTTTTCTCTTCCTCACACAAACTCTCACCCACTCTCTCTCTCTCCCTTTCCCTTTATCTCTTTTTCTCTTCTCTTTCTCTCTATTTCTTGATTAGTTCATATCCGCACTTGCTGTCACCCTATGGCAGATATCTAAAGATGAAGTGCAGAAACAAATGTAATTAAGCTCTTTAACTTTTGACCACAATTCCTGTTAGTGATGTGCTGAGAATCGGTTAAGGGCTCTTCTTTTTTGCCCCCCCAACTTTCTACAATATTTCTGAAAACATTTTTACTTTTTATTCTTCTTTTTTTTATTTTACTTTGCAATACTAAATTCTTTTTGATTAACACTATTTTTTCTCTTCTTATTTTTCCATTTTTGTTTTTAAAACAAGGATCGTTTGACTGATAATAATTGTACACACATGCAAAAAAAAATCTAAACAGTGAATGATTTGGCAGCGGAAAATAAGTTTTGTTTTTCTAGCCCAGAAGACATATGTTATATAATATCATTACGTTTTGCCTCAGATACGAGCATTAAGGATGAGATGTGAATGATCTCTGCAAGAAAACAATAATTTTTTCATAGGTAATACCACCTGCATTTGCAACATAAATTTGGAGAAGCATTATTGTATTTTTTTTTTTTTATTCACCATTTTTCTTGAAATGTAAGTGGACAGCAAGGACTCCACTTTCAGAGATAACTAGGAAATTAAATACACCATTAAAAAGAAAAAGAACAGAACAGAAAGAGTTGAACATTGTAAAATAAATACAAAAGATTGGAAATAATTGGAAATCTTTCAAATATAAATATATATTCTGCCTGAATTTCTGGGATGAGGAGTTATTATTATTTACATTCAGACTAATGTCATCATCTTTATTGCTATTATCATCTAAAGGAATCAGCTGTGAATATCATGGAACAAACATGTGAGCAAAATTTTAGAGAAAAAGGTAACAAAAAGGACATTTATACTCAGAATCAGAAAGAGGCAGTTGAAATATCTAGGGCGCATAATGAGGAAAGAGGACTTGGAAAATTTGTTACTCACAGGGCAGATTGAAGGCAAAAGGGACAGAGGAAAACAACAAATAAACTACTTAGCTACTTACAGGAAATAGTGGAGAGCTATGTTCAGAGATAGTCTGTTTCATGCTTGAATGCAATCTTCAGGGTGAAAGTTATGAAACAGGCTGTTGCTGCTTGGTGTTGACCTCAGTATCCACTTTTATAATTATATAAGCTTTATATCTGATTTTGAGCTCTTTTACCTATAAATATAACACATATTAAAACTATATGTTCAATGCATATATATATATATATATATATATATGGGGGAAGAGGTTATAGTTGTTCCAATGAGAGAAAAGTGCATATATTAAAAAGAAGAGAGAAACCGCAGCAAACATTTTTGGTTGTAATGTGGATTTTTCTTTAAAAATATATTATGCTTTATTTTCCATAATTTTGCTACACATGTTTCCAGTCTTGTGACTTTCATCAGTCAAAGAGTGGATATTTTCACATATTATAAAAAGGAATTAATTTTTCTTATGTTTTTCGATGTTAAACATACTCGATGTTAGACATTGTCTTTTTTGTGTGTTAGTGACGCAAATCTCTTCCTCGAACTGACAAAAAACACAAAACACAATATATATATTTTTAAAAAAAACCCACATTACAACCAAAAATGTTTGCAGTTTCTCTTTTCTTTTTAAGGTATATATATATATATATATATATATTTTTACAAGGGTGGGCTGAAAAATTTGTAGACTGACTATGAAGGAGTGATGCTAGAGCTGTGAAATCTTGCATGCATTAATTTCAAGTAAACTGACATCTGACAGCTCAAAGACTTCAAGAGGAACTAGCAGTGATTTATCTTGGAAATGGACAAAATTTAGTATTGTAGTATTATCAAGTATGTGCAGAAAAAGGGTTTATCCCCCAAGTACATTCATGCTGACATGGTTGCAATATTAGAAGATGACAATCCAGCTTTATCTGCAGTGCAAAAGTGGGTAGCTGAATTTAGGAAATGAAAGGGAAGTCTTGAAGATGACCAAGGTCTGGACATCTGGCAACTTCCACCACCAAGGAAAACATTGATCATGTCCACCACATATTGATAGATGGCAGGCAACTGACTATAAATCAAATAGCCAATGCTGTTAGAATATCCCATGAGATAGTTGAAAATATTCTGCACAGTGAACTTGGCATGATAAAGGTTTCTGCTTGGTCAGCATCATGTCTTTTGACATCTGATCAAAAAGGCACCAGTCTGAACACACCATGGGAAAATCTAACATTGTTTTAGGCAGACCCAGCTGGTTTCCTTAAATGTTTCCTAATCCAAAATGATTATTGGGTTCATCACTTTAAACCAGAGACAAAGAGACAATCCATACAGTGGAAAAGAAGGTGATAGTCTCAGTTTTTGGGGATGCAAAAGCATTGTGTTTATTGACTATCTTCAGAAGGGCCACACCATCAATAGAGAGTACAAAGCCAACTTGCTAAGACTGTTACAAAAGGCTATCAAGACTAAATGCACAGGAAAACTGATGAAAGGGGTGTTGTTCAGGACAATGATCCTTGGTCTTTGGTTTCAATGACTAGTGTGGGTGATATGAAAAAATACTTGGGACCAGTATCACATTGATGATGATGTCATATCTGCTTTTGATGACTTTTTGACCAACAGGATGAAAGTTTCTTCACCAATGAAATCCAAGCAATACAACACCAATGGAAGAATTGTATGGACCGCAAAGGGGACTATGTTGAAAAATAAACCTCATTTGATCACATTCCATATGAAAGAATTTATATTTTATAGATATGTTCAAAGAATGAGGATGACTAAAAATGAACATGAGAAAATATAAGATGTCACTTTTATGATTTTCCTAACATGCGGTAAAAGATAGCGCAGTAAACATTTCCAGGAATCCAATTAATATATGTTCTAGTACCATATCATTCTCTCCATTTATAACTTTTGATTTCCAACAAATATAACACCATGCAATTAATAATGATACATTGTCATAGATCAACTGCATTTTTGAGTCATTGTCAACTCCATGATATTGCTGATGGCTATATAGTATGTGCTATGCTACAGCTATATCTAGTTTTGATTTTAGAATTGTTCTCATCATAGACTGGATGCCAATCATGGCTAGATAGGCTAGTCTGTCCAGCTATTTAACACATAGCTTGGCAGAGAAAAGATGTATTCATAGTCACAGCATTGTATGTGGTTAATTATGTGGTTTGAACTGGTATTTGGTGACTATGGTCATTGTTGTATAGTGGACTGTATCAGTTACGCATTAATCTCCATAGATGTCTTCAAGATAATACACCAAAGTCTGTATTTTTTCTGAAAGATCCTTTTTTTCCTTCTTAATTCTTAACTTTAAATTGTTCCCCTCTGTTGGACACACAAAATGTTGCACATATTTTTCCCAAGGGTATTTGTGTAAAAATGAATGTAATAAACTCAATTGACATTTGAAATTGGCTTGCCAATTTATTTTCCAACCCGCTAAGCACCTACTTTCCATATTTTTTTATAAATATCACCTCTTACTAAAAGTGGCCATCAACAGTATCAGACACATAATTTCATTTTTGAAAACCCCTAGAGAAGAACCTTGCCTCATAAAAAATCCTTAATTCATGAAATAAACATTGTATTGTATTTTTGCTTCAAATCCAATTCTTGATATGGCATATGTTTTTGCTTATCTCAGATCAGAATAAGATTATCAAAATCCTTATGTGTTGTCTTTGGTAGAATTCAAATCACATGGTGTCCTATAGAAACAAGACAATAATTAGCTTTCTATAAAAAAAAAATGCCTTTCTGCTCAGCATTGAAAAATTAGGTAGCACAAAATTAATTTTTTAAAAGGTTAAAAATAGAAAAGCATGTACCTTACATTTTGGACTCTGAAGGGCTATCTTTGAATACACACATCTCAAGGAAAAACTTTTTTTATGTGCTGTATCCCTTAAGGATATAGGTGACCGTTGCCCTCCACCTCTTCCTGTCTCTTGTAGCTCTTAATAAGTTTTGTCTTTTTCTTATTTCTCCCAAACTCTGTTCTACAATCCATTTACTCAAGCTCATCATCTACACACTGCTTTCCTCTGTCCCTCTTTCTCTCAATCTGTCCTATGAGTATCAGATTTTACAAACCTTCCTTCCTCATTACGTACAACAGAAATTTCATGTAGTGAAAGAGATAATCAGCTACCTCAAAAAAGAGTTTGTGTTTTGTGTATGATCTGCCGAAGAAAAATTACCGAAAGTAGTTAGCAAAAATCTGTTACTTTAAGGACCAGAATCTGTCCTAATATTCTTCCCTCCCCTGAATGGTGTGACCAATTAGAAAAATCTTTTGGTGAAAAAGCCGTTGTATTTCGCTGATGTGAACAGATTTGATTTTCTGAGCCTGGTGGACGAACACGCGTTTTTACTGGTGAGAAGTGAAGGTTGAATTTGTGACCCCATTTTGTCCTTTCTACGTTGCCTGTTGGACTGTTATGATGGACTATCGTTTGAACTGTGATTTGGCTACATGTGTTGCGGTCGAGAGACAGAAGAAATCTATTGCAGGCGTTTATTGCTACTATAAGTTTACAATTTTTTTTTGTTTCTTTACTACAACATTTCAACTGCCACTTCCTGACGTAAAGTATAATTTTCCATTGTGTTTCCATTCTCTAAAACTTCTCGTTGCTCACATGTTTGGTTCATAGTATCCTCAGCATCTTTCTGTAGATCTACATTTTTGTTGCTTCAATCCCTTCTTCATCTTTGAGGAGATTGTCCAGCATCCGCTGCCATACAGATATCGTATAACAGTTTAGTACTCTTTTATTTGTTTCTAACAAAATTTTTCTGTTTCTTAATACTCTTAGCTTTTGGAGTGCATCTTTGGCCACCCCAATAAATATTCAGATCTCAGGATCACACTTTCTGTCCTGTGTTAGAACATTTCCCAGATATTTAAATTTCTGTACTTGTTTGATTTTAGTATCCCTGATTTGTAATTTGCATTTTGGGCTCATCCTTTTACAGATAACCATGCATTTTGTCCTCTTCTGGTTTATACTTAGTCCTTTCTTCTTGCTTTCCTTCACTACCTTCTGTAGGAGCTTTTCTAGTTTCCTTTCTCTGTATGATATCAACCCTGTGTCATCTGCATATCTTATATTAAGATTGTGGCCACCAATAAAGAATCCTGGTAGGACTTCTAATTCTCTCAGAATTGCTTCACTGTATAGGTTGAATAAATCTGGTGAGAAGACACATCCTTGTCTTTACACACCTTTCTATTTTTTTATATCTGCTGAACTCATTTTCTGTCCATGTGCAGGCAGTTTACTGCCAATATAGATTTTGATTATTCTAATGTCTTCGCTAAATATGTGAAGGTTGCTGAGCAATTCTAACAGATCTTTGTGGTGTATTTTATCGAACACCTTTGCGTGATCTATAAAACACTGGTACATGTCCTTCTGCATTTGTATTGCTCTTTCCAAGCCTTCTTTCCTCATTATGTGTCCTAGAAATTTCAACTCATTCTTTTTGACATTAAATATAAGTTTCCATTTTCTCTAAAACTTTGTCATTGCTCACATGCTCAGTCCATGGTATTCTCAGAATTCTTCTGTAGAACCACATTTATATTACTTCAAGCCTCTTCTTCATCTTTGAGAAGATTGACCAGCATTCTCTGCCATATATGAGGACTAATATTATTTAACAGTTCAGTATTCTTTTCTTTGTTTCTTACAAAAATTATTTCTATTTCTTAATACTTTGCTTAGCTTTTGGAAGGCATCTTTCACTATCCCAATGTGCCTTCAGATTTCACTTTCACATTTTCTGTCCTCTGTTAAAATACTTCCCAGATATTTAAATTGTTGTACTTAGGAGATTTCTGATATATCCAGTTTGTAATTTGCATGTTGGACTGTTCCTTTTGCTAACACCCATGCATTCTATCTTTTTGCAATTGATGTTTAGTCCTTTCTTCTTGCTTTCCTTTCCTACCTTCTGTAGAATTTCTTGTAGCTTCTTTTATGGGTCGGATATCAACACCGTGTCATCTGCATATCCTAAGTTAAAATTGTGGTTACCAATAATTAGAATTACAATAATTTCAGAATTACATCACTCTGTAGATTGAAGAACGATGAGAAGACACATCTTTGTCTTACACCCCTTCCTATTTATGTATATTTACTAAATACATTTTCCATCCATACAAGGAAAAACTAGGTCCCTCAAAAAAGCATGTACCCTAAAATGTAGGACTGAAAATAAAGCTATCTCTGAATTCACACCTCTCAAACAAAAACTAGCCCCCCAGACCCAAAGATTAAAATTTAGGACTCTGAAGATTTATATTTATTATACACAAATATTTCAAGGAAAAATAGGTCTCAAAAAGCAGAAAGGCATGTACCAGCAAATTTCTGAACCAGAAAATTCATCCATCTTTGAAAGAAAATATCTCAAGCAAAACCTTTGTATCAGAAAAAAAATGAACATTTGCACTGTAAAATACTCCTGGCAATCAAAATCCTCACTTCTCTAAAATAGGACCTCATATACGACACATGCTAGTGAATACAAATAATAAAACTGTATTTATCTGATATCACAGATTTATATTATAGGATTTTACACACACACACACACACACACACACACACACAGGTGGAAACAAAATCTGTATACATGTAATTAATTTACATTCAAGTAAACAGGTATACTCAAATTTGGTAATAGTAATGGTAATATTAATTGTTTCTTTATAAGGAAACATTCTGTATTCACTGACCAAGCAGTCAGTTGAAATTTATCAAATCTTTCTCTTAAAACTGTTTTTCAAGAAAATAGATTTCTCAAGTTCACTAGTCATTATCACTTATTTCCAGATTTGCTGGCGGGGGGGGGATCCTTTTTAACCATTTTTTTTATTATAAGCATTTCAACCCAAGCATGTTGGGAGTGCCACTAGTACACAAGGCACTACAGAAAGTGAAAGTGAGAGAAAAGACTGGGTATAGTGGGAAGTAAGGAAAGAATAAAAAGAACGGAGATTAAGGCATCAGAAGATGTCATTTGACATTACATTTTAATTTTTGAAGATTATAGTTATCAGGGAAGCAAGTAAGAGGAAGGGAGTTCCACTGTCAGGAAGTACAAGAGAAGAAGCTGTTGGAGTAGAAGAGGCAGTTACATATAATTTTTTTGACATTGAAAGGGTGGGACCAAGATGCCAACCTAGTAGCACTGCTTAAATTTATGCAGTCAGGGCACCAGTGAAAATAGCTCATCAGAGCAGATGCCATGAAAATATTTGTAGAAAAAAACATAGGGACCCATATTATGTCAGTGAGGAAGTGACTGGAGTCAAGATCCCAAGTCAGGACTGTTCACGTTGCATATCTGTCTTTGGATTTTATCGAGAACATCAAGATGACCAGCGTTGGCACCAGACCATATATGGCAACAGTATTCAATGCAAGGACAAATCATTGATTTGTAGATGTGAAGGATAGACTCAGGCGTGAAAAACCTTCTGGCACAACACAGACAACCAACTTGCCTTGCAGTAGATTTGTTAACAAATGTATAGTCTTTATTTTCTCTTTGAGCTATGTGTGCTAGCCATTTTAGTTGTTGCTGCTGTTGGAAGTTCTCAGGTGATGTAATTTCTGTTATTTGATTCAGATCCTTGGAATTTTCTACCACTAGTTCAAAAAGGTTCAGAGAAGGGTCGTCTTCACTAAGGCTTACAGGTTTCTTTTGCTCAAAGCCATTTTTAATCATTAATCTGAGAATATGATTTATACAGTTGACATTTCTGAATGAGTTTGGAACCATACATGACATCCATAGAAAATTCTTGATTTGATAAGGTGGTACTTATATATAGTCAAACACACACACACACACACACTCAGGACTGTTCATCTGCATTTATATATAGATCTTCATTTTTCACTGTCACTCTTTTATATATATATGTGTGTGTGTGTTTCATATGTATCATCTTATATATATTTTTTGCATATGTATGTAATCATATATATATATATATATATATATATATATATAACATGTACAAAAATAAGGACATTAAAAATACAAAAAGTTGGAAAATTAATGTCTAAATTAATTTTCTCCACAAATTTGAAATCATTTTTTTCCATTCAGCTTTCCATTCTAATAAACTTTCCAAGGTGACAATTGCAAATACATACAGTGTGCGATGGATAAATTGTCATCAAAATTACGCAAAATGAAAATAACACTGGCATCTCATTTTAACAGATATATTTACCAAAATTACACAAAAATGTCTTCAAATACAAAAAAGTAAATTTATTCAATAAAATTGCCATTGGCTTCAGCAATGCTCTCCAGACGTCTTGGGAATCTCCTGCAACTCTCCTGGACAGTCTTCCTGTATAAATTGGTGAATGCTGTCATAATCCTTAACTTCAGTTCATCTTTGGTGTTACAAGAAGTTTTGTTTGTATCTCGCTCAACTGCATGCCATGATTAATATTCAAGGGGGTTGGTGTCTGGGGAGTTAGGTGGTTAGGTCTAAGGGGTGATGTTGTCGCAGAAATTGTCTGACAGCCATGGACAGAGTTCACCTGTTTGTGTGGCATGGTTCAGAGTCTTGTTACCAGATATAGGGTCTACCAGCAGCCACCCTCTTGATCCAGGGCAGCACTACCTCCTCAAGTCAGTTGATGTAGGTCTCCATGATGAATCTAAGGCCCTATGGGAAGATGAATGGAAGCATAACATCACCATCATTAGTTATCAATCCAAACACCATGATGTTGATTGGATATATCATCCAACTCTTTCTGAATCCTCTGCACTGTCCTCAGATTGATACCCAAACACTCTGGAATGTTTGTATTGGAGCTTCGGGGGTGAATGCCAAGCATTACAGTATACCATTCCTGAATTCCTGAATTGTGTCTTGGTGCCCTTTTTCTCACAGACAGTGCCCAACTGCAGTAGACAAAATCAAAAACAAACAATGCGTATGCACAAAATTAAAAATATAAAATGGCAACAATTTACCCATCACAACCTCTATACAAATGATGTACATATTATAAGGCATGACCCCAAAATTGCATGCATATACAAAGGCTATCAGTAGAGTGTGTTGAATGGTCATGGTAGAATCCTGCATTTCAGTAGGGTTGGGAAAATGCAAGTAAGATTTGTACACTCAAAATTAGTTTGCATCATATTACACAGATGAATTGTGTGTGGGGGAGTATTATTTGGATTGCAGTAGAGTGCATAGTCCCACTAGATGAAAAAGATAGATAGATAGATAGATAGATAGATAGATAGATAGATAGATAGATAGATAGATCAGTCCATATCTATCTATCTATCTATCTATCTATCTATCTATCTATCTATCTATCTATCTCAGTCTGTTCATATCTATGAATCTCAATCTGTTCACATCTATTTGTGTCAGTCTGTTCATATCTATCTCAGTTTTTTCATATCTAGCTACTTCAATCTATCTAGCTATCTATTTATCTATCTATCTATCGATCTATCTATCTATTTATCTATCTATTTATCTATCTATCTACCAATCAACGTTTGCACTTGATAAGAGAACTGGAAATTATTTACAAACAGAAAATTTATAGCTCAATTTATTGGTTTTTGTCATTAGAAATGATTAAAAAAATGGTCAATTCCTTGTACCACTCTAGAGAGTATCTAACTCCTACTTCATCTTTACAAGAGTCAGATCATTGCAAATGTAGGGTTATTGCTGATGTATCTGGTTTACAGTTAGACAATCCATACATTCCAAACATCACAGAGTTCAAAACATTTACATGGCCTTGTGGGTGATTAATTATTTTCCACCCAACAACCCCTATCCTAAAGAAAAAAAACATTACTCACCTCTCTTCCTGACATATTCAAACAAGCTATATTCCTTAGTTGGACCTGGCATGCCATATACAAAGGGTTGACTCATCTTTATTCACTTTGTTCTTTTGGTAAGGAGTAAGTTTCACTCAGCTTCTTCCACAGAACCATTACTTTGTGGAACAAACTGCTGCGAGTATGCTTCCCTAATAGCAACAATCTCAGAGCCATTATCTAGCCTACATAGCCTAATATCCACATAATAATGACTTCTTATTTCTTCCTTTATGCCCTTATAATAAACTCATTCAGCAACATTCTACCTTCAGTGGGTCATGGTCCTCATATTGGATAAACAACAGTGTAAAATGTATGTATATATATCTATATATATATATATATATATATATATATATAAAATACAGATCAATAATGCCTATCAGAATGTGTAAAATTATTCAATTTTTTATGTATTTCAATGCAATTAAAATTTTTCTCAAGAAAGTAGCTAGTAAAAAACTAGATCAACAATAGTCAATAATTAAAAAAGGTTCCAATGACTAATCATTTGACCAACTTCAAAGTCTGGAAGATACATATCCAACCCTGATGAATATTGTATCTTCAAAACTTTGAAGTTGCTCAAAAATACATCCATTAATTCTTTATATATATATATATATATATATATATATATATATATATATATATATATATATATATATTTTCAATTCATATATATATATATATATATATATATATATATATGAATTGAAAAAATATGGATTAAATTCAACAGAATGATGAGATAAGAAAAAAATAGAAAATATAAATTTAATATCTGATTTTACTTTAGTTGCATCAGAAGTATTTTTGATGAAGCTAAAATAAAAGGAAGCATGTTAAATTTATAAACCTTTTTTCTGTTTCTTCTTTATTTAATATATATATATGTGTAAAGAAATCTATATAATAATTAATATAAATTTTTCCTCACCTTATGTTATAACTTTGTGTTTTATATAGACAGTAATCTTTACTTTCATGTACTGATGGTCAGTTTTCAATCAGTACCTGAAGATTGCTGCATGCATTAAAGTTGTACTATAACGTGAGGAGAAAAATGTATAAAAAATATTTATTTACCATTAATAGTATAAAAATATATATTAATATTATAAATTTTGGCTCTGTTATTTTGCATCGAATACATTTATTACTGCCAGCACTCATTATGCAATATTTTATACTTATATATATATATATATATATATATATATATATATATATATATATATATATATATATATATATATATATTTTTGTGTGTGTTGTGTGGAGAAAGTTTATATATATATATATATATATATATATATATTAATAATAAATATAAATTTTTTATATATATATATACATACATACATACATATATATATATATATATATATATATATATATATATATATATATATATATATATATTTGTTGTGTGGAGAGAAAGCTTATATATATATATATATATATATATATATATATATATATATATTAATAATAAATATAAATTTTTTCCTATATACATATACATATACATACATACATACATATATATATATATATATATATATATATATATATATATATATATATGAGAGGAGGCTGACAAGTTCTTGGCTCAACTATATAGCTCTTTCTCCCACAAATTTTGTTTGGTCAAATTTTGGGAAGTGGCTTAGTTGGAAGCATTTTCAACAACCCATCGCATGTACACACACACACAGTGAATACACATATATACATATATATATAAAAATATATGTGGTAATACATGTATGTTCTCAGACAGAGTTTTCTGTATATGTATAAATGAATGTGTGTGGGTCTTTAAAGTAGACAAATAATAAATACAAAAACGTACTCTGAAAAAAAATAGCTCGTGTTACCTTTCACATGTGATTAGTCAGCAAAACAAGGTAAGCGGCAAACTGGTGATTTGATTAGAACCCTTTTCCCGCCTCTTATTCCATTACCTCCCCTTGTGGCTCTTGGAAAATGAGCTCAGGATACAACCAGTTACTCCATCAATAAAATAGAGAAGGATCTTTAAAATTATCCAATTTAAGCAAATTTTTTCTTTGATTCCATTTTTATTTTTTTTTTTTCTCCTTCCCACTTTTGGATAAGGCAGTTTTTATTTATCTTTCCTCTTTTTTTTATTTCCTTTTTCAAGGATAGATCAGGGATGGGGGGGGCTGAGAGGGGCTTTTACTTTTCTTTTTCTAATTTAATATTTGATATTTACTAGAAATTCAATAATGTTAATTCAAGTACATCCAGAAGTTTCTTCCCATATGCACGTCACCAATATATATATAAAAAAAAAATAGAATAGAAAAAAATAAAAATAGAAAAAAAAAAGAATAGGCAAAAATATTTAAGCTTTTTGTATATATATATATATATATATATATATATATATATATAATGAAGGTGTTTTCTTCCCTGTAAACATATTTGCAGGTTGTTCAGATCATGTTTTTTTAAGCTTAAGTTTCTTGTGTCACCCTAGTGAACTGATCACATATTTATAATTTGCTTCTGACCTTGTAGAAGACATCTTTCAGATTCAAAATGTTATGAGACTTACAGAGCACGTAGTTAGGAACAAACTCACTGTCAATCATACTAGAGACACTTACTCATATAACATTCCACATACTGTGGATGTGAAGATGTCTCTCTGATTCAATAATCCATGGAACTCAGCAACTTACAGAGCTATTTTGACTATCTCAAATCTCATGAATGGTTTTATAAAAATTCTCATTAGAGATTGATATATAAAACTGAATGCACATTGGTGCAATGGATTACATATTGAAATGAGAAATTGAAGAACCAAGTTCAAATTCCAGTTGCGCTTGCAAATACCCTTGGTAAAGGTATGGATCCCTTTTGTCTCTTTCTCTTCCAGCTATAGGTAAATAGCAAGACAAACTGGGACTTATAGCCTTGGCAATCAGTTTAGGAGAAGTAAAACTCTGAATTCAAACCAACCTGAGAGGGTTGGGCTCTGTCAGGCTATTTTTGCCCAAGACACATATCAGTTATAATAAATTTAGTATCGGCGATAAGGAAATTAAAAATGGAATACACTGTTTTAATTTTAGTTTTACCCAGCACCACAAATTAACCTAAAAACTTGAATCATATTCTTAAATAGCCTCATCAGATTGAAATTTTCATGTAGATGTCATGTAGAAATATCTAAACTGTCAGCTGTATACAACTGCATTCTCAATCAATAGTTAAAAATGTCTTTGAGTGGATTAATTATGTAGGTCTTAGCAAGGATCATTATTCTTTGAACGTTGTGGATTGACACTACAGAATTACAAACAAAGAACTGTACCAAATAACAGAAAGCATATCACTTGAAGAATTTCAACAGTAACTACAACTAAAAGTGTTAGTACATGTAATGCAAAGGGAAAAATAATGGCATAATCATTATGTTGATAACCCAGGACAAAAGTTTAGGAAGGAAGCCCCCATTAGTCGTGGAAATAGCATTAATAGATGTGACTTGTGAAACCTTAAACCTTAATGGGTGTTGTACACAAGAAAAGAATATTCCTGATTTGCGTTTCCCCATTATGGGTATTAATATATCCTAAATACAGTAACACCTTCATACACAGATGGCACAGAATACCTGAAAGAAAAACAATGACAAACATGCTTTGTCCTCAAAGAGATTTTAAAACACAAAATGATATACACAATATTTTCTTAGACAAAATTATATACCCAGCACACAGTTAAACTATAACACGTATACAACAACAAGCAGTATGAAAATTAGCAAAGCAAGATAGGGTCTTACTCATAATAATTCTAAATGGCTAGTCATGTGTATTTCCCAATAGGAAGACTGCAAGGCAGAGATAGTTCCTATAATTTGAGAAAATTAGATTTATCTTCTATGTTTCTGGTGAGGACATATTTCCCAACATAAAACAGTGCTAAAGGATTTTATGCTGCCCATAGCCTTGCCCATCTTGACTTCTAGCAGCTAACTAAACAACTGACTGTTTTTGTCACTCTATGGACTTACATAATTCAGTGGCCATCATGTGACTCTTGTGAATTCATCTCAACTAAGAGATAATCGTCTTTTGCATCACTGCAACCTGAAAAATTGTTTTAATAGAAAGATTTTACAAATCTCAACTGAAAGTGGCTCTGGCTCTGGCTCTGTCAATAAATGTCAAAAGTTTCCCTATAGTATTTCTAATTGGTCCTACCTTCAAGGTTATGCACTGATAATGTACATTTGGCTGTGATGCATGTACTTGATATACCCATATCAGATTGGATAGCATGGTGGATATAATGGGCTTCATATATTTGTACCCCAGCAAGTATGCTGCTCCCTCACTCAATAATAATAATAATGCATGTTTTTTACAATAATGTTCCCCCCTCATACAAGGCCAAGAGCCACTCGAGATAGAGGACTACAGAATAAGAGGCACATTTTATGGAGATATGTGGGGAAGATAATGGTTGACATGAACAGGTTAAGATTATAATGATCGAGGAAGCATCCTCTTAGGAGATGGTTTCACAAAGCAACAGATCATGAGAAGAAGCTGCTCAAGTGGCACTTACATCTCATCAATGGAATACAAAGGGAATGAAATTAGTCCCCTACAATGTGTGTGGCAT